ACATACATCGAAAGAAAGGCAAAAAGAAAAGAAGTCATGTTATGAACAATGAATTGGCGGCAGTCTAGAGCCAGGAAAGGAAAGTTTGCCATTATGATGAAGTGATATCATATAAGAATTTTTATGGCAATTCAGTATAAAATAATTTGAGGAAGGGAGAAGACACTATTTGTAAAAAAAAAAAAATTAAAGAAGAAATTACGAGAACTTGGTAAATACCAAAATATAAAGAACCGAAAAAAACAAAAAAAAAAATCATAAAAATTAATTGAAATTTTGGTAGCATCCAAACCGAGATACATACTTACAACTAATAATTGTGTGTTTTAGTTCGCATTTCCCATTTACGCCAACGCCACAGCTCCCATTTACGAAGGCTTACTTATTTACTTGGGTCGACATAAAACCGCATATAAATAAATAATGATTTTATGGCTGGTTTATTGGTAATTTTATGACTCTTCCGTTACTGACTGTCGGTATGTGGTTGAAGATGGCTTGTGCGCCCTTTTAAGCCCTTTAATAAGCGCAAGATGAGAGAAGATGATGACGATGATGACGATGATAATAAATGATAGCAAAAAATTTATAAATTAACTTTAATATCCTTTTGCCTTTGTTTTTATTTCTAGGGCTCTAGTCTATGTTTAGTTTTATTTATTTGTATTTAGTGCAATTTTGTTTAGTTTTAAATTTTCCCAGAAAATTTATTCAAACACTTGAGAGAGAAAAAAGAGTTGAATTTCTATAGAAAAGAAAAGCAAAATCAACAACAATAAAAACAGCAGCAGCAAATACTTACCACAATGCATATCAATGAGGATCTTTTTTTTTTTTTTTTTTTTTTGTTTTTTCTTGTTATTTTAGTATTTTCTATCATCAAGACACAAAAAAAGCCGCATCACACGAATAGTTCTATAGAAAAAATGGGAAAAAAAAGAACCACTAGGAAGAGTGTTGAGGAGAAAATTCAAGTGTTAAGCGAGCGTAAACAAACCGAAAAATTAAAATTCCAAAAACGTTTAACTCACACAAATATCATGCACACACACACACACACACACACACACACACACATTTGCACATAACATACAGTCGTATATTAACACACATAAGCTAAAGCTAAAGCGTGTGGGTTTAAATTCACATAACACCATACATTCACTGCTCTGCAATCAATTGATTGCAGTCAAGTAGCGAAACAAAAAAAAAAAAAAGGCAAAAACAAAAAAAAAGCAGAAAAATTCATATAAAGCGCTTTTGTATATGAATGGTTGCCCCTGTACGCGTGAATGCTTTTTGTAGAAGTTGAAGCTTTTCGAATTTTTTTTCTTTTCTTTTTTTCTCTTTTAGTATCAAATTTTCTTTTTTTTCTTTTCAAAAATGTTCATATATTCTAACTTTCTTTTGAAATTGATTTGGTGTTTATGGTACGATTTAGAGAATTTTTGTTTATTCAATTTTGATGCAAACTGCGTTCACTTTAGAGTATCTTTTTAAGGATAGCCAGAAGCTTCAGCAATAATTAGGTTACTTTTGTTTTATTTTTCATGATTTATTGCTTAACTGAGGCAGCATTCATTCATTGCAAGAATCTCTTTTTTTTTTTTTTTTTTTTTATTTTAAGCGAAAAAAATAGAAGAAACTATTCCGGCCGTTCAATAAGTTCTCGTTAGTTACCAAGGGAGAGAATAGCTACTATTACGACAGGGCGAGGCGTACAAGTACGAGTTCTCGAACTGAAAGATTTAGCCCTAAACGTTAGGAATATATTTTTTTAGCGCTTTACACAGACCAAGTTCTGAGTCAAAAGAGCAGATACTCCAATTTATTCGCAAGCTTGACTTTTCTGCTTAATTCGCCTGGCAGTTTCTGCTGAACCATAGTGAATGCGCTATGACTTTGAAATAATAACCATAAGCAAGAGTAGAATAAAAGCGAATGGATATGCATGGAAACATAATTCAATGACTTAAGCTGAGTGTATTAAGAGTTGATCTGAGTTACCAAAACCGTTATTGACATATGATGTCAATGATCAAAGACTAGGGCAAATTAGGCGAAAGATTACCGCAATTTAACGAAAATCATTATGTTGTGGTCAGTACAAAGATGCCGGGAAGGCATAACAAATCTAAATTCGGCCTGCGCTGCTGTCCTGGTGGTCTTCAACGGACGTGGAATCTTTTAATTTGCTTAGACACAATCGATGATTTATCCTGTGGTCGAGTCCCATTTCCATTCTACGCGGTATGTTCATATGAAATCGAAAGTTTTGTTCAGAAAATATATACTCATTGTCTAAAAACAAGTGAAACCAGTGTAGTCGGCCGCAACCCTATACATCCTCGCTTAATACAGTCATTCCTACAAGGGAAGTAGGTGAAAAAACGACCCTTCAATAAGTTCAAAAATTGCCATCCGTTGGTTGCATATACAAATAGGCGGCAGACAAGTTTAGAACGATTCAGAAATCGATTGGTACAATAAAAGATAGATCTCTATAGGTCTGTCTCAGGCGTATACCACTTGTGGTGTAGGATACAATATATTATTCGAACTATCACTAACTGTAGATTTTTCTCAACCTGGATGCCACGGCAAGAGAACTGTTGCCTTTTTGAGGTAAACCAGTCGTCGATTCGTTTTCATACATTTTTGTAGGAAGTGCTTACTTAGTAAGTGCGAGTCCGATCGATACAAACCAATGGCAATTCTCAGCATTCGAGTTTAGTGAGTAACCAACATCTTCTAGTTAAGTGTTTTCAACGTATTGCGTATCATATTTGGCAATGGATGCAGGGATGGATAGCATTTAGAAGAAAGACCTGGTCTTACCTTACTTTTTGTGTTCAGTGTTCCGTTAGTTTTTTATGCAGGAAAGGTTTCAAATCGATTAATTGTTATTGATATTATTTAGTATTAACCGTCTCGCCAGACTTCAACTGCTAATAACAGATGACATTCTTTTGATCCCACCAAATAGAGAATACCATCTCCATGCCAAAGCGATGGGGTCTCGCAGTCGATAAGGATGATATACCTTGGTCTACCTATACATTTTTCAGCTTGGGATTCTCATGACATATTTATTTTTCATTGCCTATTAGGATACAATGCAAACAAGCCCGTTTGGTTAAAGAGAAAATGTTGCGGCGAATGCTCTCAGAAAATTCGACATTATCGTTCTTAAGAAAAACATTTTTAAGCTGCGAGCGATATCCCTTAGTAAAAGGACTATTTATTGTTGCCAAATGTTTATGCTATAAAAAGAAACACTAATTCAGACATATACGTTCTCTACGCGTTGTGCTATAACGATCCATGTACAAATTCTGACGTCGTATTTACATATATGGTAACGACGACATCCAAAAAATTGTTCTTTTCATAGGCAACTCTCCACTACCAGTTATCTCTTAACATTCTGCTTAAAAGTTGGGACAACTAATATATAGCGATGAAGAATATATTACGCAATACATGGAAAAAATTGTCAAAGATGTTCGCACAGATGATACCTTTGCCATTATTTGCACGCAGTTTACTACGAAGGCAATGACGTTATTAAACACGTGGACGGAGGGAAGTTGTCTCAAATTGAAATTCCTTTCTCACAGTCAAGGGACCAAATGCAGATTTATTTGCATCCAGTAATCTTATTTGATCACTCAATGAAGATTGAAGAATGCGAGAGAAAACAATGAAGCAATTTTCTTACAAGGGGTACAGTAAGTCCTTCCATGATTTAATGTCTTGATGAAGGAAAGGTCGCCTTTATTTGTGCTGCATTTGTCCCTGTTATATTCGGCTTTGCCGTTCTACATTCAATTATTTTATCTCGTTTAGTTGTTTCTCATTGATTCCTCTTGTGAACATTTATGGGATCCGTGACAACCAAGAGAAAAACCAAATCATTTTTTTTCTTTTAATATGACCCCATAAAATTGTCCCTAAAATTGAGACAGTGAAGTAAAAGTTGATATCTAGAAATCCATGTAAAGGTCAGAATTGGAATTTTTTTTTCTTTATATGTGACCTACCGCACAGGTATGACCCTTGAATGTATATGGCCACTGTCAGAAAGCACTATGGAAAGAAAAAGACAGTTGATGTGTAGCGTAGCTTAACCTGAATACCTACCTCGTGGCTTAAACTAGTGATGTACGCCGGCGTAACGGGTTGGGTAAGACACTCATTATAGCTACGACCAAACTTTATCGCATTGAGGTAAGTAAAAAGTAGCAAATACTTTATACTCTACTGTATCTCTGGACAAAAAAAGAATATTTATCACTTTATTGACGATCAAGTGTTTGTCTAAAACTCTCTTAAATGAAATTCAAGAAAATCAATAAGAGATCATTATCGAAGTAAAGAGTTAAAGTTAAATCAAGGAGACTTTTTTTCCTTTATGTTTAAAGTTGACCTACTTTGAATTTTTTTTTCTTCTAAAATGAATAATTATTGTGATTGTTTTTAAATTATGGAAAACATAAAAATATAAAAAAAAAAGCGACTTTGCCTTAATAAGTGGCTAAAAAAAAAAAAAAAGAAAAACAAAAAAAGATTGCATTCCTAACAACTTACGCGCTATGACATATGTTACACTCATAGTATAATAGTGTTTTTTTTTTTTTTTTTTTTATTAAAACGAATTTAGCAAACATTACCAAAAATATGAACACAATAAAACCATAAATAAAATTATTTAATAATAAATAAAAAGATAAGATGGTGAATAAATGTAAAGAACATTCGCTTTGTTTTCTTGATAAACGAGAAGGGATAACAAGCTTAGAGATTATGTACGCAAAGCACGTACACGCAGTGACCAAAAAGCAAATAAAATATGAAGAGCGAAAAAACCCCTCATTAAAAACTTTCGCCACTTAAGAGTCTAATGTAAGCAACGCGTGTACAAAAGCAAAGGAAAGGCGATGAAATAAAAAGTAGCAAAAAAGTAGTTACCAATGGGCACCCACGCAAGCGCAAGTTTCTTCAAACACTTACGCTTTGATTGAAGTGCTTTGATAAACTCGCTCTGGCTTCTTTTAATTTATTTATTTATTTATTTATTTTTTCTTTTCATTTCACTCATTATTAAAGCGATTGTATGAACGATGGCATTGAATTGAAAGTTGTAAGAGAGCGGTTTTATTATCTTTTTCGTTTAAAGAAATTACACCGCAAAAATTGCTGGCGATTTAGTCAACTTTCAAACGTGTGGCAAGCTAAACGGTTTCCATTTACCCGTGAACGGCAAAACAATACAATATAAATCTTTAGAAAATTTTCTTTATATAAACTATGTATAAAGAAATGTTATTTCAAATCAAGATAATAACATTTCTTCTAATAGCCCTTGTAATATGCGGCGAGTGCGTCGAAGCTATGAAACGTAAAACAATTTCGATAAATGAAGAGCAAGAACAACTGATAAGACAATCGCAGAGTACTTTTGCTCAGTGGGTTTGGTCTCTATTACCACAAGCACCCACACTGGAAACAATAGGTCTTAGCTTAAATGACTCTACAATAACAGTAACTGAGGAGACTACGACTACCGAAGCGCCTTCTTCAGCTGCTATAGCAACAACAACAACCACAGTTGTATCGTCCTCCGTCGTAACGCAGACATCGACATCGGCTCCTCCGCGTCCTCCTACTACGCCTCGCCCTGAATTGGATCCGCCGCGCAATTGCTCGGATTGCGTTTGTGGTATAGCGAATACACAAAAGCGTATTGTTGGCGGTCAGGAAACAGAATTGCATCAGTATCCTTGGATGTGCATGCTTTTGTACGGTGGACGCTTTTATTGTGCGGCCACTCTCATAAATGATCTATATGCACTCACAGCCTCACATTGCGTCTACGGATTTCGTCGTGAACGCATTAGTGTTCGTTTGCTGGAACATGACCGTAAAATGGCAAATTTTCAAAAAATTGATCGTAGGGTAGCGCAAGTTATTACCCATCCAAAGTATAATGCCAGAACCTATGATAATGATATCGCCATTGTCAAATTGGATAAACCGGTGGAAATGACCGAGTTATTGCATCCGGTTTGTATGCCGACGCCGGGCAAATCATTTAAGGGTGAAATTGGAATAGTAACGGGCTGGGGAGCCTTAAGGGTGGGCGGTCCTAGTTCCGATACCTTGCAGGTAAAAATTAAATCTCTTCTCACTTTCCAACTTTCGATTTTGCAGACAAGGCTTCAATTGTTATAGTTGTAGCACTTCATTCGTCTTCTTGTCAGAAAAGTAAAAATAGGTTAGAAAATTGAAATTTGGTTAATACAATCTTAGTTACTTGCCCCATTTCTCAATTTGAATCTAAAATGGCCAAAAATTTGAAAACTTTCAGCTTATCTATACTCATGGGGTGCGGAAAGTTGACTCGGCTGTTTTCTGATAGAGAGTGCATCGTGGGTTTTCTATATAGAAAGTGCTTGCAGCTCTAACCGGGAATGTCTTACCACATCGGCTGATTTAAGGAAACATTGTTTCTTCCGGTTCGCGAGGATATTATTAGACGACTTATTGTTTGCTGGAATGGTGCGTCCATCCTTACGACGATACCCAAGTATGTGTTACTTTATGGACGGCCTTGAACGACCCACTATTCTTTCGGCACGGATATCACGTTACTTCTAAAAGATAGCAAACTGACTGCCTAACAATGGGCAATATTTCGAGTAGTAAGCGTAAAATCAGTTCTTTACACTAAAACCTCGAATGTCGAAAAAAAATTTGACGAAAGATATATTTTGCCTTACATAGCGTACGTTCACCTTTATTCTCAATATACGGGATGTAAGTCCTTTGTTAACAATCTTGAAAGGGTCAAGCAACAGGCCTGGAGGTACGATAGAAATGGTAAAAACAATTTGACAACATTAATGATACGCATTTTATTTGAATACACGCTATGAATGTTTCATTTTTATGGCCGACGACAGTTGTGGTACAGGGCCATTTAAGCTTGTGCAGATGTGGGCTATGCACAGAAGGACTTGGAATAGGCCCACCTTTTATTACACCAATCGTTTTGAGAATCATTTTCTCGACTCGATCGAGGTTTTTCTATCAACTTGTTCATCTGTCCATCTGCCCATCTGTCCATCTGTCCATCTGTCTACGCTGAATTATTGTGTATAACCTAAAGGTTGCAGTTTTTAATGTATTTTGATGAAATCTGGCGCATCGACCAAGCGCAAACGCTAGTGAAAGTGGAGTGGATCAGGCTACTTGTTCAACCACTTCCCATATAATGCCCTACTGTAAAAAGTCGTTACATAAGTAATTATATTAAGTCAAATGGTACGCTATGCACTGTAATGAGGTTACTTGTTTTACTTTACCCACATAACGTTTTCCTTCAATTACGGGTAGAGCTTACGGCAAGGTCTTCTCTCTTATGCAAATTGACTTGTACTGTCTTCTAAGACCAAAAAATATCGGTATTGATTAATTTTTTGAAATCTTTATATTATTCATGGAATATCTATCGAAAATTTTGAAAAAATGGTGCCCAATTTTTTATTTTTTCCTAAATGTGAGTGCTGTCAAGTTTTTAAATTTGCATACATTGTTAACTTTTAATGAGCAGTAAGCGTTTAATTCTTAAGAGGTATACCGTTGCATGAAACCAGGAATTTTTCAAATTTTTGGTAAATTTTTCTTCCAAAAAAACATATTCACACACACTTCAGTTTCGTAAAAAAAGGCTTAACTTTATTCTCTTTTATTTGACCCGTCAGGAAGTGCAAGTGCCTATAATGTCTCAAGACGATTGCCGTCAAAGTCGTTATGGACCTTCACGTATCACTGACAACATGTTATGTGCCGGCTATGAAGAGGGAAGCAAAGATAGCTGCCAAGGTGATAGCGGAGGACCATTGCATATTGTCGCCTACGGTACAAGAGAACATCAATTAGCCGGGGTGGTCTCATGGGGTGAAGGTTGTGCAAAAGCTGGTTATCCCGGTGTATATGCGAGAGTTAATCGTTATGGTACCTGGATAAAAACCATGACCAAAAATGCTTGCCTTTGCCACTCAGAAGTGAAAAAATTTAAAAATAAATAAAAGAAAAAGTGAAGCGAATGTTTTGCAAGGAGAAAATCACACTTTTACTTTTATATATATATATTGTGCCCTCTCCAAATATGTATTATATATAGTTTTCAAATTAATTTATAAAATGTTTTCAATCATTGTTTTTATTTGTTCATTTTGTTTTTTTTTTTTTTTTTCTTTTTCAAAGATTTTTATTTATTGTATAGTAATAAAAGATCATTTTTTACGATGGAACTTTCTTTTTTTCCATTTAGTATTTAAGCCAGTTATTGATTAGTTAAATCGTACTAGTAGTTGAAGTCGGTCAATTGACGAGCTAACGTTCAAAATGCTCTCGGCTATGGCACGTAAGGCAAGCAGACACTTGAGTAATATGTAGGTAGCTTGTGCTTGTGTGGAGCATGTCGACATAATGAGTGTGCAAAGCGTATTAATGATATTGAAACCGTTAAAGTTGGTTTATGTTGAAACTAGTTGAAGTAATTTCTTACAAATTACCCCATACCTGAAAAGTAACTTTCTGTGGCTGATTAATTTGCGGCCAGTTGCTGAAAGTCATTGCAAGTTAGCACATCGTGTGGAACCAACTAACAAAGAAAAATACAAAACTCACGAAATGCGTATTAAACGATTTTTAATTTTTTTATTGCTATTAATAAAAACAAGTTGCGCGTTAACTACCGAAGCTCCTGCAGATTTCAATTTAAATGCGAATCCACGACAAACCAGTTTTCTTGAATGGTTGGTGTCAATATTTCAACCAAGTAAAGAGGTGACCACAAAACCCCCTGTCACCACTGAAAGAGATTGTTCTCATCAATGCACTTGTGGTTCGCGGAACACAATTAATCGCATTGTGGGCGGTCACGAGACTGAGGTACATCAATATCCTTGGATGGCGATGCTTCGGTTTCGTGAACGCTTTATTTGCGGGGCCTGGTTAATCGATGATTTACATGTAGGTTCTGCCGCCCATTGCTTGCGAGGCTTTACACCTGGGTTACTCTCGGTGCGTTTACTGGAGCATAGCAGGCGCAACAGTAGTGCTCATATTATTGATCGCAAAGTTTCTCAAGTTTTCGTACACGAGAACTATTCCCCTCGCATTTATGATAATGATATAGGAGTGCTAAAGTTAGACAAACCAATTACAATGAGTGATATGGTGAGGCCGGTATGTATGCCCGAGAAAAATCGCGAATATGAACATGAGGAAGCTATAATCACTGGTTGGGGAGCCACGCGTGAAGGTGGGCCTGCAGCAGAAAATTTGCAGGTCAGTTCTAAGCGATCAGTAATATAAAACGAAACGAATTATATATGTCTTTACAACTTCTCACAGGAAGTACGTGTTCCCATATTATCGACAAAGGAGTGTCGCGAATCTGGTTATGGCAGTTCACGTATAACTGACAATATGCTTTGTGCGGGGATTTCAGAAGGTGGTAAAGACTCCTGTCAGGGCGACAGCGGTGGTCCTCTGCATGTCGCTATGAAAGATGCTAATTTGCATCGCTTGGTTGGTATAGTTTCCTGGGGCGAGGGCTGCGCCCGACCCAATTACCCTGGTGTCTACACTCGGGTAAACCGTTATTTAGATTGGATAAAAGAGAAAACGAAAGATGGCTGCAAATGCCAAGAACCAGTTAACGAAGAGAAATAGTGCAATGAATATCGAGTAATTTAAATAAGTTATTTATTCAAATAAATGATAAGTAATTGGAATGAGAATGGTTTGTAAACTTCATCTTGGAAATAAGTAAATACGTGTAATGTAGGTTGAACTGATTAAATCGGTCTTATGGATTGGAGTAGCGCACCTAGAAGAGGTCTAAACAAGATGCAAAACGTTTCTCCTAAAATTTTATCAACGATTTTGCTTGAAGTTAGGAAAGATTTTCGCAGCCACAAAGTAATGTCATGGCTTGGACCGGACAGAAAACAATCTAACGTCTGGGCAATATCCTCCATAGTCATCACTATATTCCAATTCTTGTATTGTTTATGAGTAACAGGCTGATATTAGTGAGTTGATAGCATAGAAGAAACGCTTGCAGCGCACAAAGACTCACATCCGAAAACCCGTAAAGCAAAGGTTCTTAGCTTAGCTTCAGCTCCACTGTTTAGTCTTCCTCTGTATTTTTCATTCTGTTTTCTAACTGTTTCAAGCATTGGCTTAGTTTTCTCTGCAAGCAGTTTTTCTTAGAATGAAATTTGAGTCCTTCTGTGGAGAGCTGCAAAAGATTAAGAATCTTTTCGGCAGGGAGTGATGGAAAATATTTGTAGCTTTTTCAAGAACAATATTCTGAATAATGTTAGTGTTTTAACATTTTCTTAAAATAAGTGATAGCCTTTGTAGAATACGTCGTAATGACTTACAAACTATTTCTTACAAACTATTTCTTAAGTTTGTAGCCTGTTGATCAAGGTCGTTGCAAGCTAACATATCGCAAAAAGGTAAAGAAACTAAAGGAAAACATTTCATATTTATGCCGCTATGAAGTAAAACGAGTTGATGGTGCTGTAGATTTAAACTCATAGCATATCTAGGGAAAATGATTCAATCGTGGTGATAAAGGTGGTTGACGCTTTTGAGACAATTGCAAGCTAGTTGGCGAGCTGCGGAAGATATGGAAAAATCAACATCTAGATAATAAGATCCTTACCGGTCTTGTTGTGAGGTACTAAGGCATTGCCCTGTTTTGTGTGCAAACATTTATTAAAATACGAATACCATTTTTTAAGCCTGCTGAAGTCTAGACAACAAAGCTCCTTTGGAAGCTTTGCATAAGTCGAACCATGTGCAAAACACACAGAAAACAAGAAGAAATATCGCTTTTGATGATAGAATATCGTAAGCGAAAAAGATGATGGTGCAAACCTACGAACAGCGCCTGATGTTGGTGACTTGATTAATAAAGAAGAAAGCGCTAGGTACGAATGCTTAGGGTGGCAAAGTTTCTATAGCAATTTGTTGTCTGCCTGAGCAATTGTTCCGGAAACGATAACTAAAAGAATTTGCCTTAAAAGACGGTAAGTCTTTTCGAAATATTCTATTGGAGAAGTGTGTAGCATTCTGAATGATATTCTGCTCACTCTTGCCTTAAATTACGCGCTTGAGATTTTTAATGAACAAATCGGCAAGGACTTGTTTCTATATATTTATTAGGGTAGAGTCGGCTTCATTACGTATTTACCTATCCGATGTTTACTTTACCGGTATCTACAGTTTAATGTACCTCTGGATGTTTAGGCTAAACGATAATATGGCGTATTAGGATATATGTCAATGCATTAGTAACTGTAGTAGTAGTCTCAGGTAAGTGGTTTTCCCTTTTTTTCATTCATGGAAGTACTTTCTATATGAAGTCAACACATCAACCGACTTACTTAATAGACAAGGGATTTTATGCAAAAAGATACCGAGTTCACTTTCTACAACGACCTTGTTTTTCCAGTGTTTCTTAAACTCAATTGACATTCAGGCAATTAACGGGTTGACTGCAAACCGCAAATTGAACTTGTTTATCAGCGAATCTTTCCAATTCGCCCGTATAGTAATTTCCTTCATATTGCGCTTTAATTTCGCAATATTACCTCAGACGATTTCTCTTTCATATCAATAGCATTGCTATTGATATTGAATAACTTTCATGTTTTCAATTCTCAAGCGTAAACCGTAACATGAAACCGCAATAAACAAAGCCATTAAGCGTTACTCTTACTGACTAAGTATCTGGAGAATTTACCGCATTCTTTAATGCCTCCAATCAATATTTGTAATAAAGTTATTAATAAAATATCGATAATATGATGAGCAATGATTATGACGATAATGTATATAGTTTAACAATTTTCGTAATCGTATTTTCTCATACGTTTGATATGCGCTCTGCAGTTGCCATTGGTATGCGAAAAGCGTCGTCAATTAATTAACGTTAACGCGAGAGATGCATGTGTTACAAATAGAAAACACCCGCACTTTACTATTTGAACATACCCAACCTTATGGTGTTAAGTTACGCTTCAGTTAATTTCAAGTTCGAACAACATCGTAACAATACAAAATGTCATTATTATAACAATAACAACAGCAAAACTACGGTTACAGTTAATATTATTAATAAATGAAAAACATCATATTTTTTGAACATTAAAGGTTAACCTAACCAAGGAAAAGACTTTATTTCTTATTTAATGCTTTTCAATTTTTTAAGTACATATTGTTTCGTATTTTTGGTTTTTAATATTTGGCACAGGTTCTCTCTCTTGCTTTTTAAATATAAAGATCATTAAATGTGTTAACTAAAGTTATGTAGATATTCTATATGTATAAATGGATGTATATTAAAAAAAAAAAAAAAAAAAATCAGGGTCTCTCTAATCTACAATTATCTACACGAGCATAAGTATCGGTATATAATAAATTACAAATGGCAGCATTATTATCGAAACTCATTTCGGAAACTTTAAATTCAGGATTTATGGCAATTTTCAAGGTATACAAACCGGTATTCATTTCGGTTATATCAACCCATTGGCAGTCTAGGTTATATAAATAAACATCCGAGCAATTAACAGAGATTCCTTCCGAAGGAAAAACATAAAATTATATCATCAAAATCAAGATAAGAGTACAAAAATACCTTGATCTCCGAAATTCGCGCAATTATATTTCTTGGGTATACCCGGCAGACATTGGCTATCCTCCAAGCAAAACGATGCTTTATGACCTTGAGCCACTTTACTGCCCCGTGCATCATAAATATCGAAAGTAGCAAACACTTCCATGCTGTGATAGTGCCTGCAATGCATAAACAAATTATGTATAAGGGAGCAAGAACCTCAGCTTCTACTCTGCCTTCACTTACATATGACACATATGCCATTCCCACATACTCTTGTCTTTAAAGGGTCGAAAATCTGTGTTGCCAGCATTTAAAGCACTGGCGGTAAATTTCAACAGGCGTCTAGTCACATAACGCCAATTAGGATCGTCGCGTTGTATATCGTAAGCCTCATTGGCCACACAATTCTCCTCCATGGCGCACTGCATTAAAGCCATCGGGCGATCTTCTAAATGGGCCGTGCGTTCAATTTCGTAATAATCGACAACTAAATCGGGAGCCAATATATGGCAAACAACTACGGCTACGTGATTACGTTCGCCATGACATGTCGAAGTTCCACGACTAAAATCGTAATGTAAACACTCCTGCAAAGAGGTTTCGTTACCGTAACATTCAGTACCGCTGAGTAAGACTGGCGTCAAATCCGCTCCGCCGAAGTAATCCGTTTGCAAAGCGTCGCGCGCATAGCCTAAACCTAATTGGCGACACACAACGTTAGCCTCGAGTAAAGACCAACCATCGGAACATATACTGCCCCAAGCGCCTCCGTTCAAACGAACTTCTATTCGTCCCTCGTTTGGTACGCGGCCGCCTCGTAAGCGTATTTCCATACGTTGACTATAGTGAATGCGACTTTTAGGCTCGTAATATTCTGGTTTTATTTCGGGTAGCGTTTCTTCGCCCGCAGGGGATTGACAAATAACACCGGCCGCCTCTGTGGGCTCACAATCATTTAGCCCCCAACCATCGAAGTGGCAATCCGTTAATTCTTTTTCATGACCTTCACAAAATAGATTGTCCATCCAAAATCGACGACGCGCCGGCCCAAAGTAACCGCTATGGGTGATTTTCTTAAGACCTGGAAAGCCCAGCTGTTCACAAACAATTCGACCCTCAACCGAATCCCATTCATCATCGCATACCGAACCCCATTTATTGTTATGGAGAACCTCTATATTGCCTGAAATTGAAAGAAGGCCAAAACAGAAGAAAAAAAAAATCGTGATAAGAAGAGCAAATAAATAAATCTTTATAAGAAACTTGATTTTAAACAGAGTATCGGTCGCATTTTTAAGAGAATCTCTTTTCCAAGCAAAGAGTTAAATTTCTTTTCAATTTGTTTTGTTTTCATTATTAGATGTCAAGGCCGTTTTTGTTTACATTACTCCAACCACTTGATGTATTCGGTGATTTATAACAATAACTAAAGCAAATCTAGTTAATAGTTTTTATTTATTTATTTATTTTTTTTTTTTGTTCTTTTTTTTTTTTTTGTTGTTATTACGATTTTGCGTTCTCTTTCTTGTTTTCAGTTTGTTTTCATTTTCATTCAATGTACAACAATTACTGCTTCGTTCTCAATAAATTATTGAATGAATTTTTAAATTGTGCACGAATCACTGACTGAATTAAACAATATGTTGTAATGCAATTTTATTATTTATTCACATTGCGCGCGAGTGCTTGCGATTGATTGTGTTTGTGTATAAGAGAATGATAGTGAAACGCTTGGGAAATTTGTTTACTTATGACATAACGTGATTTGTTTCAATCATTATTACGTCAAATATTGAAGTAAAGAAAAACCTATACATATCTATTTAATCTTATGAAGACTTTACGTAAATAATAATAATAATAATAATAATAATAATAGTAATCTTATGAAGACTTATGTAAAAAATAAAGGCACCTCACTACATATTGTTCGGCAGTAGAGACGTTGTTTTATCAATGCAGCAGTATTTTGGGGGCAGTTTTGATAAGTAGTAGTTCTCTTTGTGTTCAAAAAAGAAAAAAAAACTGAAGAACTAAAGCAATGGGTATCTAGGAGCATGAAAGGTAGAGATGTACCTACCGCTTCAGAAAATCGCTGAACTTACACTCACGAGTGTGTATAAAAAGAGGAAAGTCCGATTGAATTTATTTTTTTACACAGAAAGTTCTGAGCTACATATGCGACATCAGCCAATGCACTGATGGCCAGACAGATGGACAATCTTGGTTGAATCGTTTTTCTATTCATACTAATCAAAATTATATACATTTTCATGGGGTTGTCAATGCATATTTTTGCATAAGTAGTAAACATTCAACAAACCCTATGTGATCAGTGTGCCTGGCCTGTGCCTTTGGCAGGCAGAAAGAGTAATATCTCGATTCAAATCAAAGTTTTACAGCAGAGTAAAACATAAGTATTTTTATAGTAAGTTACTTGCAAGATGATATTTCCAGGACGATATTAAGCTGAAGTAGATGAGACTGAGAGAGCTAACAGCAATTCAATTTCAATCTAGTGACTAAAGGAATTGTTTTCCTCAACTTGAACTACCAATTTAATCCTTGCAATATGAAGGCGCTTATGTGTTGAATACAAGAGAACGAATTATTTTAAATTGCAAAGACCTTCTCAGTGCCGAGGCTAGTTGTCAAGATAGCTGTTTTTGCTGTCAACGACTTTGTCAGAGCTACCACAAATACAATGAATATAATAAAACCCTAGGCTCACAGACCGTTACCTACTTTATCTTCCTAGTGCAGCAAGAGTTTTCAAAACTTTGCTCTTATTATGACCACATATTCTCCTAAGGATTGGATAAACTTCATATTAGTTTGGGGAAAAAGAAATCCATTATTTTTTCGGTAGATGGCTGCACTGATAGATTTCTCGTAAAGTATCGATCAAACAATTTCATATATATGCTCGCTGGAAAGGTGACATTAAAAAAATTCTTTTGCTGTTTTTTTGTTTGCTGCATTCAGTTGTGAGTTACAGCGTGTTAAAAATGGAAGTGAACAAAGAGAAAATTCGGTACATTTTACAGTTTCTCTTTGACAAAGGCGAAAATGCAAGCCAGGCATCTAAAATTGTGAATGGTGTTTACGGTTCCGATACTGTAACAGCCAATTATGTGCAATTTTGGTTTCGTAGATTCCGTTCAGGAATTTTTGATGTTAAAGATGCACCTCGCACAGGTAGGCCGGTCGTCGAAAATGTCGATAAAATCGGAGAAATGATCGAAGTTGACCGGCATGTTAGCAGTCGTATCATCGCCCAGGAGCTAAAAATCGACCATAAAACAATTTTAAACCATTTACACAAAGCTGGATTCAAAAAGAAGCTCGATGTTTGGGTGCCACACCAATTAACAGAAAAAAACATGATGGATCGAATTTCCATCTGCGAAGCCTTGGCCAAACGGAATGAGATAGACCCATTTCTTAAACGGATGGTGTCTGGAGATGAGAAATGGATCACATACGATAACCCTGTGCGAAAACGATCGTGGTCAAAGAGCGGTGAAGCACCTCAAACGGCCAGGAAGGTTTTGCTATGCATTTGGTGGGACTGGAAGGGGATTATTTATTATGAGTTGCTTCCATATGGCCATACGCTAATTTCTGATCGCTACTGTCAACAACTGGACCGTTTAAAGATAGCGATTGACCAGAAACGGCCAGAATTGGCCAACAGGAGAGGTGTCGTGTTCCACCAGGACAACGCTAGGCCACACACATCTACAGTGACTCGCCAGAAACTTCGGGAGCTTGGTTGGGAAGTTTTAATGCATCCGCCATACAGTCCGGACTTGGCACCAAGCGATTATCATCTTTTTCTTGCATTGCAAAATTTCTTTAATGATAAAAAATTGGAATCTACGGAGGATTGTGAAAATCGACTACTAGAGTTTTTTGCAAATAGAGACCAGGACTTCTATGAGAGAGGCATTTTGAAGTTACCTTTAAAATGGCAACAAATCATACAACAAAACGGTGCATATTTGACCCAAATCGGACAATCCGAAGCATGTTAAATAAAGTCCTGAAGTTCATATAAAAATAATGGATTTCTTTTTCCCCAAACTAATATATAATAGTTCGATATGTTTCTCATTTAGAAATGTTTGGAAGTGCCTCCGTTTATCCTTTTCATGGTTTGATTTGGTTGGTAACTTTTTTAAACCCTACACCACTTATGGTACAAGGGTATATTAAGTTTGCACATATGTACGCAACACCCAGAAGAACGCCAGATAGCATCACTTTTCGTTTTATCGATCGATTCAGAATCACAGGCTGAATCCATGCAAAGTAGTCTGTCCGTCTGTCCCTCGCTCTGTCTTCTTCTCTTGTTCTCAACCTACAATTGCGCTGACGTGCTTTGATTCAGGGACTAATACTCTTGAAAATGGTTCGGAATGGATCACATTTTCGATCACTTCCGATATAACACTTTACTCCAAAAAGTGGACATATGGATGGGGTATTCAACAACTGGTCGTGTCCGTCCACAGTGGATGGTTCCTTGTTAAAAGAGAGCATGCAGGTAGAAGGAGGCCAGAAAACTTGCCGACAGCATAGAATACGCTCCGTTTCACATACTATTACGACATAAGATCGTTACGTCGGATGACCAAGTTTATAAGCTAAGCTGCTTTCTTCTATTCAGAATGAAATCTCGATCAGACAGAGCTCAGGATAGAAGTTATATCATATTTATGCTAATGTCAGGTTTCTCTTATTATGTTGTTCTTAGTTTTCACCTCAACTTAGTTTTTAAGCTCTATTTTCTTCTCTTGTAACTTTTATAAAATTATATCTGAATGTTTTTTTATTTATCAATTTTTTTTATGTAGACCTTATGTTATACCTTATGCTAGGTTATTTTCGATGTGAGCAATATATAAAAATGTACACAAAAAGTAAATGCAAAAATCCAATCAGTTTTCCTTACAAAAAAACACAAATTAATTACATCCAACGAGGAAAAGATTTTAGCGACAAATGCAATAAAAAATTCTATAAAAATTTTTCTACTACAATTTAACTATTGCTTGTCATCTCAATACCTTTACTTACACTACGTCAATTTATTTATGTGATGGCTCAATGATTGGATTACGTAAGTTAAAGATTATTTTTGTTTTATTTTAAATGATCTCTTGCGCGTTTCCGTCTTTTAGCAAACATCACTAGAGCGCTAATTAGGCGACCTTTTTACAGTAATACGAATTTCTTCTCGTTTCCCTGTTTTTCCACAGAATTCGATCACCTTCATAATCATTTTATGCATCAACTACACGTATAGTGCTCTTTCCTCATTATAATCAGACTCTTGCATATTACTGCGTGCAACATTGTAAGTCTTCATTGTAAGACGCTTCAGTCAAGGAAGTGTATGGGTATAAAATGTCAGCATTGAGAAAAAAGTCTATGGATAAATAGAAATCAATTTTATATTTATTTATATGTTGCCGTCGTTCATAGTTAGCCTCTTTATAATGTTGAAATGGCAAACTCGCAACTTATCTTCTTTGAAAATTTCAATTTCAGACAGAATTGTGGATCATCATTACGTCATCAAAGAAATCTTCCCTTCCTACCAATCACTTGGTCGAAATACTCTTCAACTTTTAAAGGACATTGCATTAAATTTATTCATTTCACCTCACACCCCTTGTGGTAGAGAAATATATTAAGGCTTACGTCGGTTAGATACAACAGCCAGAACGACTTAAGATGGATCCGCCTTTTATTATACCGATCGATTCAGAATCACTTTCCGAATCAATCTGGGATTATCTGTCCATCTGTTCGCCTGTCCGTCTTATTTATATATTATTTTTTTGCTCAACACAAGGGTCAAGTTCCAAGGAGGAACACTAACGAACTTGATTTGGATCCCGGCACTTTTTGAGCAGTTCCTCTTAATAGCCTTACTTTAGCAAACTGTTATATGAATAACTGTAAGTTGGTGTAAGTTATTTAGGGGATCGGCGCGGCCCTGTATAAAATTTTTACTCATTCTTATTCTGATATCCTCAGCTTTTTACATGATTTTAATGCCTTTCGCGTAGTACAGTTTAAACCAGACTTTTTCAATTCGTAAAATTTTTGTCAGAAATGCCAAATTTTTCGAACCGATAGAAGTCAATTCTCTATTCAAAAAAATTGTTTTTTACAATTTTGTAATCTACATCGCTTATAAGAGAAGTTTACTCCGGGCTGGAAAATGTTAACCACGTGTTTTAGAAATTTCAAACTTTCCCGTATTTTTTGATGGTCTGCCGAAGAAGTTAACTTTGACCCTTTTTTGTTCCTCCATTGAATTTTATGAATTTCTCGAGCTAATAACTCATTTATTTTTATAACTCAGATGATTCTATAAAATATTTTTCAACTTTTCCTTATAATGGCAATAGTACGACCTCTAGAGCTGTTTCGTGAGTTATTCCCATACATTTTACTTTTCAAATAAACTTTAAAAAAGCATTGCAAAGGTGTCACGTTGCTTGATCTAGTTATTAAATATCGTCTACATTCCTTGAAATCAGTCATTCGTTGAGCAATGAATTTATTGCGTCACAATTTCTACGATATGCTGCAAGGTTTTATTGCAATCAAAGACCGCTTGCATTGAGTTTACCTAACGGGGTCTAGAGAACGCCAGCATCGTTGGCCATTTACTGCAATGGCCTCCTCACGATTGTTCTCAATAAGAAGAGAACTAACCATGCCGTTAGTTCATAGACCAAAAACAGTGAGTTCTTGAAGATTGAAATGATTTTTTATGAATAACATCAAGATTTTCTGCTCTCCAAACGCGACAATTTTTTTTTGAGAAACCTTGATTTGGGAAAGTTAGCAGTATAAGTGATAGCTTTTATTATGCCCTCCGCGAGACTAGTCTAAATGTTTATCTGCATTACAAATGCAAAGGATCTTAGCTAGTAGCTGATTATGGCAAATATTCACGTCACAAGTATACAAAAGTTGATTGCTTTCCTTCTTACATGCGCTTAGAGAGTCAAGATCCACCTTTCAATCTTGCTTTTTCGGGTCTTTTCGCTCAACTCTTCGAGAGAAACACTCTCACCGTAATAAAAAATATCGACTTGTTCTGTGATATAAATTTATCCTAAGACGAAGCTTGTTCTGATTTCAAGCATCTTAAAATTATTATCATCCGGACGTAATTTTCCAAGGGGTATTTCAAAATTCTTAACTTTTTCAAGTGTCGCTAGCGTTACTCTTTTAAAGCCTTTGAATTATTAATTACTAAGCAACTTATTCCCGCGAACTCGTCTCTTGTCTCTTCGTACTAACAACTATTATCTCTTCGTATGACTTCAAATGACTTTCACCCATTGCGATGTAACATATATCAACTGTAGTAAGGTACTTTTTCCGTAGAATTAGCTACAATTTCTTAAACCTTAAATTATCTTTAAGAGGACTTCTCACGGCATTATTTTCTTTTATGTGCACAATGCTATTAAATAATGAGATCAGCAGTATTCCAACGAAATTACTTGACGACATATGTCATATGTTCTACATCGATGTTTGCTGATAATGATCATGCATCCTTAAAGTGCATCTATGGATTCTTCTCATTTACACACAGGTGTCAGTTACCTCAATCAATCTCAATACATTTCTGAACATTCATTTCTGAATTTATTTTTATGTATCTAATTCTTTCAAGATATGTATGTAATTGTTTTTCTGCGCTCATTGTCTTTCTAAAGGATAATTGCTCTACGGAATGTTTTAAATTATTCATCAACAGTTCGGGCACAACCGAAGCTTTATACCAGTAAAGTTTACGCGAGAGTTGCGCTGGCTGGTAATGCTTTTCGGAAACCAGCAAAAATATTTTGAAATGCTTACTATCGCTAGGACTACAGCGATACCTTAAACCACGTGGGAAAATTTATTCTACGCGACTTTCAATTTCAAACTGACTTAACAACGTGACATTGTTTTTCTTTGTCGTCAAGCAGCGATAACGAATGCCTTTAAATTTATTTATTGTTGTCAATTTTCTTCTTTTTTTTTTTGTTTAATTTCTTCAACTTAAATTAAACAGTGCTCTTAAGAACAATTCATTTATTTTAAATTGAATTTTTGATTGTAGCTTTCAAGTTCAACTCTGCTTACTTTCAAGTCTTCAATTGGTTGGTGTTTTAGTGCAGCTAATGAAACTAAATAAATAACAAATTAACACATATACAACATATATAAGCCTATGTAATAAATAAGTCAAATACTTAAATAGCCCACGGGTGGTAATAGCAAAAGTACAAACAAATAATTAACTGAAACGTTCAAGTATATTTTCTTAAACTTAATTCTCGTCTTAAGTGACATTTATACGAAAAGTGACGGAAGTGAAACTTTTAAAGTAATCAAATAAAATGATTCGTCTGTCGAAAATAATATATTTTATGTAATTTAATTTACTTAACCCAGACAAATATGCAAAGCTTAGCATTAAATGGATACTTTTCCGCTGGCAGGGGAAACGGGACAATCGCTATACTTACTTACTAGCATATGTCCTTTTCTACGCACTTTCTATTTTTCTTTATTCTCCCACAGTTTGCATTGGGGCTACACAAGCAATTATACACAAGTTGGCGTCGAGTACATAATAATAAGCAAAACACAACGCAACAAAACAAAAATCATAATTAAAGTAATAAAGTTTATGAAAAATGAATATTTTCGTTAGTTTAGATAAAGTAGCTCTTAATAGCAATAGCTATGTAAAGTTAAATAATTTGTATACGCAATTTATTGAAGGTGTTTGGGATTAGTGGAATGCATTGAAAGTGCTTGCAATAATTACAATTTATTGAAGGTTCTAGCTCAATATAGCTCAGGCATTCGAATTCCTCAGCTTAGAATATCGAATTCTAGAGACGATAAGTAACTCTTCAGCGCTAGCTAGAAATTTCAATTGTCCTTAAGTGCTTGAAGGTTTGAAGTTAGGTGTGTTCTACATTGAATTGTAAAAATTTATCTCTTTACTTATGTGCATCATTGCAATTATTTATTCGTCTCTTCTACATCCTCTCGTCAAGTTTGGACAAATTGAAGGGAATTTAATGAAAGTCGATAGGGGCAAGTTGCTCGGTTTACAGTTCTTAGTGCAAGGAATGTGAATAGCCTGCGAAGTTCTTTAAATTTAAACAATATGTGCTTCTCAGTGCCGACACGGTACCGTGTCGGTATCTAGTTGTGGCATAAGTACTTCAAAACATGGCCAAAAATATGTCCTGGGTTTCTCCTATGGAATGCAATTCGAAAGTAAATTTTCTCTTTTTCACTTGTTTGCTATCTTCTATGAAACGTTTCTCGACCTTTTCTTTCAAAAATAGAGATTTCCTTGATGACAACAGAACATCATTACCGTGTACTGTGTATAATTCGAACTCGTATTTCAAAGTTAAAATAAAATAAAAGGAAAATGGTTCGGGAGAACTAAGCTAAACTTGTAATTAGACAATAAATTTAACATAAAGATGTTTTTATGTAAATAAATTAAATTTTCTCAAAAAATGAAATTCATTTCACTCATATTAAATGAAAGGAGTAAACTATGCTATTCCTCATGAACAATCATAAAGCTTTAATCTTAACCGAATTCCGATGTGTCTTTGGAACTTTAAACTTAAATTTTCTGATTATTTCACATAGGATTTCAAAAAAAAAAAAAATTGGAGTTTTCTCAATACGTGTGTATGTTCCTACACAGATTGTTTGGATGTAAACAAACACACATTAACATTTTAATTACTTCATGGTAAAATAATGATTCCAAAGAAGCTCTTGCGAAATTATTTTCCTTGACTTATGGAAGTAATTTGCAGAAGATCTAAAACCAAAGAGAGCTCGATGTGGTAACTTACAAGAAGATAGATATGTCAATTTACTATCACACATATGCTTAGAGCTCAGTATTTTAAAAATTGTAAAGTTTTACGCAGTTATAAGAATGATCTCAAGCTAAGACTTGATTGACATACATTTATTTCGATGAGGAAGCAAAATGCATTAATTCAAGGCAAAGAACTTTTACGTCTTCTGGTGTTTGATATTAAAGAAACAAATCCCTTTCGTATAAAAATCAAAACTATTACAAACGAATTGTGTTATACGTAACCATCAAAATTCTGAGCAAACAGAGAGGTCATATATCAGAAGCGTATTTCTTTCACTTCACTTTAGAGCAAAATTCATAGTGGAGATCCCCAAAAACTGCAACAAGAAAACACAGTGTTTTCTCGTACTCGCTGGCGAGCGTACATACAACTTGAGGATATGACTGAACAGCTTAGAAGAATTCTAGGAGTATTTTTGGTCTTGTGTTGACCTTCTTGACCTTAAGTACACCCGAGCTATGAAATTTCTAATTACCTTTCGAATGGAGTAAGACTTTTGAGTAGGAAAAGATCTTGTATCACGTCCGTGACGCCGATTATTTGCGCTCCCCATATCCAATATATTCGTAATTTCAGCCAAATACCTCAAAAGATGTGGCGTGCAGGTTAAGCACGTACAAACACGAGAGAAAAACGGACGAAAACACTTCAATACAATCAAGAAGTGATTCTGAATCGATCGGCCTAGCTAAAGGATGGATCTATCTCATGTCCTTTTTCGGCACAAACTTAATATATCGTTGTATAATGTTTGTGTGTAGGGTACGAAAATAGAATAATTTAAAAATAACTCCATGCTTTTACTCAATGCTTGTTTCAAGGTCATAATTTTTTGCTTTGCTTCCGAGATTATCAAAGACAGAAGCGAGAGAAAGAGCAGCGATATGCCTGCGTTATGCAAAACAAAAACTTTTTACACTTAAACTTGCGACATTTTAAAGCAGGTTTACTGATCTGCATAATTATTGTGCGATTATGTAAGTAATAGATTTTTAAAATTGATCTTCTTTTCATTACAGCCGCGCACATTTGCTATTTAATAAGCAATTGATCACTAATTATACATTGTTTGAATAATAATTTTGTTGATGTCAATCAATATTGTAGCAATCATGTCTCACCTTCATATTCATTTCGTCCGCCCACTAAACGTATTGCTCCCTCCTCTTTATTTAAAGTTTTTATATATTTTTGTACCAAACGTTGACGTTCCAAACGCGCTTCCTCTAAGGAAGTATGAGGAACTATCGCACAGGATATCTTTAAAGATACTACAAATATAATTAAAACACTTGAAGACGATACGGTGCACATAATTCGTTAAATTATTATTTCGTAAGGCTAGGGAAAAAGGATTTATTCTTATTATCAGGATATAATTTTGTTTTGATTCGTTTAAATTATTCAAAAAAACAATTTCTTTTTTTTTTTCTTTTTCAATTTTTTAAGAACACAAACATTTAATTGAGATGACTACAGAAGTCAAACTATTTTTCTAATTCACAAATTCAACTGAAATAAAGCTAAGCTTCTCGTACTATTTCACTTCTTTTCTATTCGATATTTCATTTTTGATTGCATAAAAAAGCCTCTTATTTCCCAACAAAGATTCAATCTCTATTTATAAGCTCATCTGTATTTGTCATTTTCACATTTATACTCTCCTTTATATCGTTCTTATATATATAAAAAAACAATACATAAATAAATTAAAAAAAAAAAAAAAAAAACATATGTGATATTGTAGAGCAATGATTTTGAGCTAAACATTCAAAGCACATGTTGCGCTTTGCTGCTATCTCTGATCATTGCAGAATTTAGAGAATTTTGTTTACATATCTAGAACAGTAGCAGCAACAATAGAAAATTAAATTGAAAATCTATCGACTGACTACGCTGCGCTAATGATCTTTTTAAAAACGCCGAAACTCTTAACGACCTCTTCTCTCACTCTCAATTTCTCTATCTCTCTCTCTCTCTCTCTCGCTCTCGTTCTCGTTCTCGTTCTCTCCCTTTCAAAGAGCGCAACCATAGTTGAGATAGCCCCTCTTGCTTTCAACTCATGATAATTAAACTCTTCATTTCTAATTACACTAGCGACTGCTTTTACGCGATTTTTGATAATGCATTTATTAATGTAACGTATTTTCACAATGAGGCTGGAAACTTTATCAAAATATGTCCAAAATTGCGACCTTTAACTTGAACAGCAGAAGAGAAAACAGACAGACATGCAGACGGACATACAGGCAGACAACCTTTCAAAGTGACTCTGAGTCGATTCATATAAGAGAGATGACTCTTAGCCCTAGGTCTCCTGTGTTTGGTATAATAGTGTAAGATATACTAAAAAAGGCAATACGTGGAGTAAAAGCTATAAAAAGAAACCAGAAAATACACAAGTTCGACCTAACTTCCTCCAATCTGCGTTACGCAATGTCTTGGCGATAAAATCGTAAAGCATTTTGTTTTTGTCTGAAGATTGTCCAGTAAGCCAATCAAGACTTTTTGTGAGCCCAAGTCATTTAAAAGGACCCGCTAAATATTCTCACAGTGTGGTTTAGCCTATAAGATATTGAAAGCCTGCCTTTGGTTCAATTTTTTAATCTTTTGTCTATTTTAAGCGTACTTTTGAAGGGAGTTTTTCCTTTTTTAGCCTTATCTCTGGCATTCAGTTCTACTTTTTTCATTTCACATCTGACTTGGGGGAAAGGACTTATGGACATACGAAAATGCATGGACTGACTAAGGAGGCCTTGAGCAAGAGTACAAGTAGAAAAAGAAAAAGAAGATACGCGGATAAATGAACACTCGATCGGCTAGGCTACTGAACGAATATCTCTTTTCAATCATATTTACAGTAACCCAATAAGGTTTACATACAGTAGGAAAAATTAAGATTTCTTTTATTAAAAAGTGCGTTTATGGCTTAGGCCGGCAAAAAATGTTTATTTTAAGAGACATAAACTTTTATTAAATAACAATTTAAGATTTCTTTTAAATCTAAGCAGAAACAAATGTACTTAAAACGTACCTACGTACGTATTAACTAAGTACTGCTAACTAAATAAATTTTGATTTTCGAACCTTCTAGTGATGTATGTAGACTTTTTTCTTTCTTTCTTTTATTGGATTAAAGTGCTAGTATTGGAAAAAAGTTTTAAATTGTTATAATATTTAATAGTTTAAGTTTTTCTTTCTTAAGATAAATATTTTTTGAACCTCTACCTATAAATGCCGTTCTTAATAAATGAACCCTTAATTTAGCACTACTGTGTATTTTAGAAGATGTCTAATGTTGTTCCATCAAATTTATAAAAAAAAAAAAAATTAAAAAAAATGCATTTATTTGTGATACTCTAACTATCCCGTCAATATGGATTTACATAAATATTCATAAAAACTGTGAGTAGCAACAATACGGAGTCTACTGTGTTTCACGGGTTCATATATCAAAGGATAACAAAGGCCTACTCTTTCTTTTTCTGTTCTTCCTAAGAAAGGACGCTCCATTTGATGATAATTTTTATCATTAAAAAAAAAAAAAAAATCAAATAATTAATAGCCATAATATATGTACAAGTTTCAGAATCTTAAACGCATTTCAAAAATTAATTTATCTCTTAGTTAATGAAGTTCAAGGCTTTGCTATGATTAAATATTTAATGATTCGTTTTTTATTGTTAAATATGATCTACAAAATTAATCTCATAAAGTACATGTTATGATGCATTAAGTTCTCTTTTAAACTTGCTCTAGATTTTATATAAATTTTCATTTAATTTATAAATAATTTAACGTAATTCAATTTATATTAAACTTATTTATATTTATAATTGCCTTGTTTAACTTTACATACTCTCATTATATCCTACGCGAATTCATATTTCAATGTATTTTATTAAAGTATTTATTATTATTATAAAAACTAGCTGGCATACGATTTTGTTTTTTTTTTTTTTTTTTTTTTTTTTTTGGTCAAGCACGCACACGCGCAATTATATCATTATTATGATTTGTTTTATTACGTAAGTAATGGAGGAAAAAAGAAAAATAAGAAACGCTTTATAGCTTAGAAACAATTCTATATAGCCTTTAAGGTCATTTCGAAACCCTCTAAGCAATAAATAGCTTTTATATATTGACCTTGAAAGGAATCTCTTAAAATTTTCTACACTTCCCACCAAAGAGTGAGAGTACATTCACCTTGTCCATAGTTGCATTCACAAGGAAGCTTTTGAAACCAAGCTAGATACACGCCAGATATTATTCATCAGTTCTAAAGCCATGTAGGAGTGTCCATCTTTCCGTCTGTCCATCTATGTAAATCTTGTAGCAAACACAGACCCAATCCAAATACAGTAAAAGTATCGTAGGTCTTCGCACGAAGTTTGGCATCGATCCGGTTTCATAAAGAAAAGCAAGAAAATTTCTTCTTCCTGCTAATAAGACGCAACAGGTATAAGCATTTTCACATTATTTCTATGAATAATCTTACGATACCTGACCGTCTTTCAAAATTCCTTTGTACTGTACAAATGCACCTAAAAAGAGTACGTTATGGAACTGGACAAGCATGACTGAATATTTTTAATTCATCGGATGGTAATAAGATATTCGATTTACTTCCAACAAAGGCGAAATGTTTTTTTCATAGCAAATACTCTTGTTACCGTAATAAAGAACTTCCTGCCGGTGAACAAAGATTACGTACATGCACGTGGACAAATAGTAATTTCCCCGCGTTTTATGGAAAACTAAGAGAATGGAGAGTTTCTCTCATCATTTTCTATTGCAATGAACAGAAATTCAATACAAAATAATTCGAATCGAAACTCTTGTGTATCCTAGAGTCGCAATAGTATATACTTTTCTATTTCTTCCTTGTAAACATTGATCAATAATTCCCGGGATTTATTGGTGCTACTTTCGTCATCCGCGAAACAATGGAACAGAAAAATCCGATTCTCGTGCATTGACTTAACTCTGCTTTTTATTTAGGAAAAATACCATCCAAGCTTAGCATAGGTTAAAAAAATGTTATGAAAACCTTGCGCACTCGAATACAAATCGTGGTTTGTTGAATTTAAAAGGAGATCGTACGGAAGGGTTGAGCATACCAAAAGACATCAATAAATCCTGCAAATTACTCCCGAAAGTCGCAAAGTTAAGTTACAAGAGAGATACCTGATATCCTGAAGACATAACTGAGATATCTGATATCCTGAAGCCATCAAAAGGTAGAAATCTGACTATTTTTGCATGAAAATTGTGGCACAAGAACGTTTCACATGTGTCTGACTTCAATGAGGAAATTGCACGAGTTATAGTTCGAGTTGCTGTCCCAGCTGTCTCCAGATCTGCTCGCTCTAAGAAACTATGATCCGTTTGCGAGATTGAAAACGATGCTACAGCGATCGACATTTAGATGAAGTGGTGAAGTCTGCTGACTGAGCTAATGATGTCACTCTTACATAAAATTATACTAATATAATAAACTTGAGTTTTATTTATGAAATAAAAATTATTTTTTATTTAGTCCCTGGTATTATTGATCAATTTATTATGTATATTTCTATATATAATGCAAGCTTTTTTATTAAGATACTCTTTTCTACATTCTACTGCAGCTGACATTTTTATTAAAATCTCCATTTCGTTTATATAAATATTAAACATTTTGCACATGTTCATAAGCATTAAAAACGCAAACCAAGAAATTTATATTATTATACAAAACATTTTATGAAAAAAAAATAAAAAAAAAAAAAATGAAATGGCTTCAAATACATAAGATTTATACTGTAGTGAGCGTAAATGTGTGCGCATTACTTGGTAAAGGACAGAAGTAACTACGGCTACAATGGATGGTATAAAACGTCAGAACGCTTATGTATGCACATAAGTATAAAATAATGTTGTTTTGTGTTAAATGGACTTTTAAAAGCATTTCACTGGCTGAGTGTGAATGCGTATGCATCCATGCACGTAAGAACAAAAGCAGAAATAAATAAGAACAAAAAGGAAATTATAAGGAAACTTACCGTGAATTCAGAAAGGAAAAAACATGATGTGCTGAATTGCATTAATACAATTTATAAAAAGTATAGATTACATGAAGTTGGCAGAAAATGAGATGTACATATATACATATTTATATATTTATATAATAAAGAAAATCGTTAATAAAAAAAATACCAATAGTTGATATTTTAATTTGCAATACTTGAGAGAGACGGCGTATAGAAAACAGAAAACTTACACTGAGTACACATCAACTGACTCATTGTAGGAATATGCTCTACTAGGTATGTAAATATCAAACCGGAATTTCCTCATAAATGAACATAACGTCACGGGTAGAAGATTACACATCTGGCAACACGAAGCGGTC